TTTTTTAAATAAAAATACTGGAAAATAAATTTTCATTGTTAGTTAAAAAAAAGAATGTTAAACTAAATTCACCATCAACATTCCTCTACAGTAAAATAATAAAATAAATAAATACAATTAAACTGAAAATGTACTTGTTCTGAACTTCTGCAATTATTTATTTATTTGCGTTTAATGTTTTTATATATATATTGAAACTGGTTTCAATGATAAAATAATTGACTTAAATGCCATTTTAACTTAGGAACTTATGAAAAACAGTAAAATATTTCCATTGTCAAAGAAAAAAAATAGTAAAAAAATACTAAAATGCTATAAATAAAAAGTTATAAATATTTTAGGCTGTCAAAACTTCCTCTGCAGTCCAAAATTTGAACTTCTGCCTTTTTTTCTATATTATCCTCTTTATTTTTTTTTCAAAAGCAGAAGAAATTCTATACAATTTCTTACCTCTGCAACTCTCTGATCAGAAACTCGACTCGAGTAAAAGTAGAGAAAATAAAATGTAAAATCATGAAATAACACATATGACCCTTTAAAACACTTGTAGAGAGGAACTAAAAGCATCTCGTCATCAGAATCTCAGCAGCTGAACTGTGTAAAGGCCATATGACATCAGTGGAAGTAAAGGATCCCTTCGATCACCAAGGCAATAGAATATACGGTCTGTACAGTATAAAAACCATTACACCTATGGAGAGTCCCCACTTTTCACAAAAACAAACCTGTGTGTGTGTGTGTGTGTGTGTGTGTGTGTGTGTATGTGTGTGTGTGTGTGTGTGTTTGTGCACCTGCCACACACACACTCATGTGGTCTGGTATAATTAGAAGCGTGTTGGGCCGCACCCTGAACCGCACGGATCTCCTGTCACTGACACACTCTGTTATTAGGATGTTCTGGGCTTTTCTGCAGGTTTGAGTGAATCTGAGTTAATGTGACTTGACAGAGACCTGAACTCATCACACACTCGCTGTCTGCAGGCCAACTTCTTCCTCAGAAGGTCGAGGATGACACAACTTCCCCTCGGTTCTGGTTTTCCTTCTCTTTGACTGTCCGTCACACAGAAGATCATCTGAGTATCTCAAACTACAGTAGCACACAATATACAGAAGAGAACGGTCAAATAAAGGTCCAAAATGAACACACTCCAAACACCAAACACACATAAAAAATTGTTCTGATTCTCACTGTATACTCAAAAAAATTCCATTGTCAAATATAAAAAATTTATTTATAAATACAAAATGTATTTATATTTATAAATATTGTAAGATAAAAATATATGTAGAAATATAAAAACGGACATAAAATATATAAAAAATATTTAAATTTAAATATATTAAAATATACATCCATAAAACATATATGATATAAAATATAATATTATTATAATATTCATATTTTATAATCATATTTAAAATCAAATATATTAAAATATATCCACACATTTAAAACATATAATGTATGTTTATTAATATTATAAAAATAAAATATATTTATAATAGAATATATGCAAATATATTTATATATATAAAAACTGACAAATTATTATTATTATTTATGATAATTTATATAAAATTACAATAAAAAATATACTTAAAATCCAACATATCAAAATATATATTCATAAATATAGAATATATAAGTATTAAAAACTTATTTTTATGAATATAAAAAACAGAAATAAAATATATTGTATATATAAATATACATATACTTATAATAAAATGTATTAGACATATATTTATACACTTACTAAATATAATACATTTATAAATATAAATAAATATAAATAAAACATATTTTTAATAAACTACTGAGGAAAAAAAACATTTGTGGCCAGTAAGGTGTATTTTCGGTGGTAAATTAATTGGCAGAAGTTCATTCTGGCACCTGCAGCAGGCTGGAATCATGTGTGTGTGTGTGTGTGTGTGTGTGTGTGTGTGGGTGTGGGTGGGGGTGGGTAGGTGAGTGTGTGTGTGAGTGAGTGGGTGGGTGTATGTGAGTGTGAGTATGAGTGAGTGGGTGTATGTGAGT